AGGGGCCATTTTCTTTCAGTTTTTATTTTATTTACACAGGTTCTAGCTAGACTAACAATGGGTTTTATATTCATATCTACTTAGATATATTAAATTGTATACTAATATTTAGACTTTTTAACTGATTATAAATTAACATGAAGAAAAATACAAGTGATTACATGCTTTCATAATCAACAAAATACATTTTTCTAAATACAAAAATATTTGATGAGAACTGGCTGGTACTAAAACTGCAGATTATCATATCAAAGATATTATTATTGTAAGTAGTAGGTTTAATAGGTACACTTATGATTAAACATACATACATACATAACTTCACGCCTGTCTCCTATGGGGGTAGGCAGAGACTATGGAACGCCAATTATTACGATTCCTCTTTCGCTTCATCAACAGTCATCAATCTTTTCATGCGTATTAAATATTTTCTACAACGTAAAACCGTGGTATTTGATTCCATGTAAAACTTGTTATATACATTCCGCACAAGAAGCCAGTCTCCTGTTTAATAAAAATAAAATCAGATGGCCAATCTGCCTCTTTTTTGTTGACTGGGGAAACCTTTCAAAGGCGCCTAGTTTTTTGGAGAAAAAGACCAATCTACCTATGGCGATATATATCTACAAATGGCGATAGACGGATCGCGATTTGCCACATTGTGAATAGTTTTCATCGTTTTTAAGTAAGCATTTCTTGACCACTACGACTACGATTTGGACATAAAACGGCATAAAATCATATTATAATACACTCTACTTATTCAGAATCATACTCCCAGTTTATTACAAGACCTCATGAAACATTTTAATATCAAAATTATATACTCCTCTACACTATGTAACTTCACCATCAAATAAACGACTATAGTATGATATTATAATCTCCTTCAACGATCAGTCCGAGTAACTTAGCCTGAAGCTTACACGTGTAACGATATAATAACGTTTCATTATTAATTTAGTTAACTTGCTTACTGAATTACTAACCAAGATTAATGTCATTATCATAGTCATACAGATAGCGTGTGGTCTAAGCGTTTAGTGTCTTAAGTCTTAAGTAATTCTAAAAATTCTTATAGTGTTCGTTTTTCATTTGATCTAATTTGAAAACTAAGATTTTGAGTGGGGACCAACTAAGAAAGCATATTATACCATTTTTAACAGATAAAGTCTGTAAATAAAACTGCCTGCTTCGTTGGCCGAGTGCTCGCAAGGGTGACTGCCCGGCAAGGGGTGTCGAGTTCGATTCCCGGGTCGGGCAAAGTATTAACAAACGGGTTTTAAAAAAAATCTCAATAGTAGTAGCACGGAGTCTGGAAATGTGCCCGGTATATGGCAATAGGCTCACCCCTTATTACATGGGACTCATAACATAGGTATGTTTGTGCGCGATTATCTCGCGATTAGATGAACCGATTTTGATGCAGTTTTCAGAAAAGTGTTTGCTACACAGGAAAAGGTTTTGATATATTATTTAACCGATTTAAAAAAAGAGGGGATTGAATATACTAAGTCGTCCTCCTGAGTGTAACCAACGCTTTCATGTAAACCCTCATGTAAAACAGCATCAAAAACAATTCATCACATGGACGTCTTGTTGTGAGAGAGCTGTGATACCTAACACAGGCACATATTGATTAAAAGAAGGCTCCAATTATTTTTATGAATTGGAGTATAATCTATTTTATAGTATAATAATTTGTTTTTGCAAAATAAACAATTATTATTACATGATTATTTTGGGTTTCCTATGTCATTCATCTAGTTATTTTGCAATGTACCGTTCTCAATTCCAGGACCTACGGTATTACTGAAAAAAAAATCAAAAGTCCTAAATCAAACATTCTCAAAGTCCAACTTAGAGTTCGAATATAAAACTCCAAGAACTCAACTCCAGGAGGTAGTCATGTTTACATTACATACACACACATACATACTTACTAGTATATGTTTACTTGTAATACGTCACACAGATACGATACCTGTGTACACCTGTACGACTAAGGCGAAGGACTCACGGCCCGATTTTCTTCCGCGCCCGTAGCGTTTGCGGGCCCGCAGTCTTTGTAGAATGCAAACATGTATGTAAAATATCAAAGCAATTTTCACGGCGCGTTTTATGCCCGTGGCGGTTGTTATTGTTTGCGGCTCCCGATACACCGACCGGCGGGCGCAGCCGCGGTTCCGCTACCGCAGCGGCTAGCACCCGCACGTACTGAGATTACTTGGCAGGCGATCGCAACGGAACGGCTGGTCTGGAACTCAACTTATTGTTTAACCGCACGCCCGTCTAGCGATAATAATCAACCGCCCAGTTTGCGGGTTATAATCGCAACCGCGGCGGCTGCGGGTTCGCAGAAAACTGCGGTCTCGTGAGTTTTGATTTTGATAATATTTATTTTTTAATGGAATAAGCCGGTAAACGGGCAGACGGATCACCTGATGGTAAGCAATCGGCGTCGCCCATGGACACCTGGAACACCAGAGGCGTTACAAGTGCGTTACCGGTTTTTTGGGGATTAGGACTTTGAGGATCGATGGGGATTCAGAGATTGGGGAGATTTATTTATTTATTTATACTTTATTGCACACATAGAAAAAAATTGTAAGCATTTCAATAGTAATTTGAGTACAATGGGCAGTTTTATCACACGCGGCGATAAGACTGGGGATGAGATTGGGGAAGGGGAGGGTAATTGGGCCTCTGGTAACCTCACTCACACGACGAAACACAACGCAAGCGTTGCGTCACGTCGGTTTTCTGTGAGGCCGTGGTATCACTCCGGTCGAGCCGGCCCATTCGTGCCGAAGCATGGCTCTCCCACACTTAATATTATAATTCCGCCTCTATTCCGCCACCACGGTGGGCACGGGAGAAGATCGCGCCGTGTGTCCTAAGCCTAAGTCCAGCTGAGATTCGATTTAAATTCAATATGTTTACAGGCACGGTCTTGAGCTGTCGTTTATCAACGCGACAGGTATTGGTCCCAGAGCTAGATTTGTGGGACGTTGCTATGTGGGAACAAGGATTTGCATTTACTTACCTGTGTTTAAAGATTTTGGAAGTGATGTATTTGTTTTTGATATTATAACGTAACAATTCCTAAAGGCTGTTGGTCGCATTGAGATTTGTTAAATGAAGCACCCACTTTAATATACCAATTAGGTATTTCGTAAGTTCCATAAGAATGAATTAATTTCTATCGCTCGATTCCTTACAAAATGGTTGAGTTGGTCGGTACTGGGGTACGTGTCATGTTCGTGAACGGACGCCGTCAATTGGGACTGGTCAGCTCCAGACTGTATGATTTTATTGTCCTCAAGGTTATTTTCTTTTTAAATCTATTTGACTGGATTTAGGTGTTGCATTGCTTTAACATAATCGAACCAACAAAACTATGTAACTAGATAATTGTATTGTGAACCTGATGGAAAAGAGTAGGTAACATATGGAGTTTCTTGCTCGTTCTTGTCCATAGGAATCTACACCTCGAATGAGCAACTAGCTTCACTTCTAATTATTTGTTGTTGACGTTCAAAAGTGCTTTCCTGGTTAAATTGAAATAAATAATTTTGACTTTGACTTGACTTTGACTACTTGTCTCGAAAATCAAAACTGACACTTCTTGTTTGGCGAACACATCTGCAAGTTCTCGAATAATAAGTGAAATAATAAAATTAGAGTAAAAACATACACAGTTTCGAATATAAATAAAACGTCAAAAATTAAAAATGTCAACATTTTATTCATAAATCAGTATAATTACTTACATTCACTTAAATCTAAACAGTTTTACAGTATAAAGACTTAGCAACGTTTACGACAAGTATCCTAATCTCATACAAAAATATTGCCTCTCATTCGACCATCTCTTGTACTGTCATTTCCATTATAATGTTCATAATAAATAACTTTAAAAGTGTAATTTACTCGCCCAGAAAACAAAGGTCAATGACCAAAACGTCTGACTAGAGACACCCTTTATATATGTGCACTGAAGTATGCAACTGACTTTAAATTATTACAAAGAACAAAACATTTTTGCTACAAAATTGCCCCGACAACAATGGGCCAGGAAGTAAGACTTACAGGGCCTCTGGGCAATTCGTAAATACGATATATTTCGGTAAAAAAGAACGACTTTTCGAGGAAAACTCGCGATTAAACAAAGCTTTTACCTCGAAAAAAATCTTTGCATCTTATAATTAGTTACATTTTACAAAACTTTCTGATCTTTCATATTTAAATACGTGGATAAAAATCCGTGCACGTTCATTTAGCACGTCATCATCAAATAATTACTTTCCGAGTCCGTTCATCACAAAATTCGCAAAGAACCATTAATCATTGAAAGTCGTAGGAAAAATATCATCATTTTTATAGGAAATCTTGAACTTTTAATGACACAATACAATAACAGTAGAAAATTAGCAGCGTTGAGAGGACATCTAACCTTAAAATTACTCTTATATCTAAGTATATAGGGTATACACCAATAAATACTTTCCAGAACGTATAGTTTTCGTAAAATAGCCATATAATTGAATAATATCAAAGTTTTTATTTAAGCTACATTCAATTGAAAAAGATAGGGTATTTATGTGAATCGAAATAAATTACTTTTACAATAATCTTTATAATCTTTCAATATTTAAAAAACACGCTTCGTATATTATGTGCACAGTAATAAATATGTCAATTTAAAGATAATCTTTTAAAATCGACGGCAGCGCCGCCAGTAAAGTATCCCATATTTCGCTTTGCTCCACATGCAGAATGTATCTACATTGACAGCTCCATAAATCAATCTCCAGTGTTCATTTTCCAATAAACATTTTTCATATTAATGTAATTTAAAATTTATTCATATACAATACATACTTTAAATACATGATATTATATTTTAGATATATTTTAATTTTAAAACGATTTAAAGCTTCATTTTCATCTTACAATTTCAAATAACATATATAATATATAACAAATGATATCTTTCATATATTGTGCTGTTACTCTGAAAAAGATAGTTTTAGTTTGTCGCATATATATTCATATTATATTTATTTCCAACTACATTATTGTCCGACAAAAGAATGTTTGTAACATTCATTGTTTAAAGAAATTTCAACTCTGCTGAATATATACTTTGAATTCAGATTAACATATCAGATATTACGAGATATGACGACAGGTTAAAATACGCGTATCGTTAAAGACAACAACTATACAACATTAATAAGTATATAATATGTACATGTGTGATAAGTCTTGAATTTGAAGTGTGCGTATTCCAAGGTATAAATAGAAGTAACATTGTATATAGCCTTGATAAAATACATGGTTAGTAAAGTACAGATATAGGAAATGTATGAGAATGATATGGGAACATTGGATTATACCAAAACTACTTACTACAAACAAATAATATTCGATCTATAAACAATTAGAACTTCTATTGGATAAATTCATTTTCTTCTACATCAACATATATCTATTTCTACGTACATAATCGCTTTAACATATACTTTCGCTACGTTTCAATATCACTTAACATTGATTTTTGATTCATTTCTTTTCTACGGTAAATGGACATACAACCGTTTAATTAATAATCACATTAACTTACTACGAGTATAAGACGTTTTGGCATCGCGAGTATACCTGCTAAGTGACGTCATCAGAGTCGACACCGTTAATTGATGGTGATAATCTTCAGTCCTTTGTCTTCCATCTCTTCATCTGCAAAAAGGATGATAAATTAACTAAAGTCGGATTATGAAACATTTTAAACGGCTTTCAAAAGTTACTTTGCGTAAATAGGGATGACAGGGCGCGAAAAGATAAAATATGAATTAGCTAATGAGTTTGTTTAATGTATTTTAGTCAATTTTCTGACGTGTTTGTAAGTGTGTATATGCTACTGTACCATATGTGCATATGGCAGAGTAGCATATATTTGTGTCATCAACACAGATTTTTTAAGGGGGGAAATTCATCGAATGACTCCTCCCGCCTGGGTAAAGCGGGTGTGTCAGACTCTTACTGACTAAAGACCACCCCGTTCCTACTCCTGCACTTCGATCCGGAGCCTCGGTAACCCGTTATGTTCTCCACGACTCCGTATCGGCATCAGCCCTATTGGGCCTCATCCGTGGTGGTGTGATGGCTCTGATCTGATCCATCATCTGCTCTGGTCTAATAAACACAGACTAAAGAACCTAATTTTGGAGAGACCAAGCAGAAGCGGTGTCTAATAAACCTAACCAAGCATGGAGATTATAGCTCGTCTAATTTCTATTGAACATCCATGAACAATGTAATAAAAACTAAAGTTACTTATTTTCATGTCAATGACCTTGAGTTTAAAGATTAGCCTTATGTATTTGCAAATAGCTGCACTGGACATAAACATTGATTGTGTAGACGGACACGAAGATCAAGAAGCTTAGTAGATAGTTTCACAAGAGATTTAACAAAACAAATTACTTTTAGGGTTGTGAACTAAGAAAATAGATATAGATAGAGTAGGTAGAAGTAAAGTATTGACTTGGTTCGGCGGCTGGACAACTGGCTGCCACGCAACCTGTCGCGGGTTTAATTTCCGCATGGTAACTCTTTTCAAATTTAGCATGCTTATTTCAGACATGTTTGTGAAGCGACCTGCGATTTTTGAGAATGCTCAATAGAACATGTTTTAGCATGCACATGCTCTAATACTGACTCGTTGACCGAGTGTTTGCAGGAGCAACTGCTGGGTAAGGAGTCTCGGGTTAGTTTCCAAGCTCAGACAATTCTCACCCCCTATAACATGGGACTCATAACATAATAATGAAAAGTGGGTGTTACATTGTACAGTGGCATTAAGTGCCGTAATATGCACCTCTGCCTACCCCTTCGGGGGTAAAAGACGTGGTGGTATGTTGTAACAGTACGTTAATTAATATAAAAATCATTTTGTAAGTAAACTATTACCTTGACTGCCCTAAGATAATATTCATCACAGAGTCTCATACAAAAACATAGAAGATAGAAGATATTGCAATCAATGCAGGATCGTTGTACAAATATTTATATTGTCTCCGTATATTATGTTTGTTGATTGTCTGAATGTTTGTGCATATCGTTTGTGTAATCAATGGATACACACATGACATATCATATTTCCATTCCATACATATTTATAAGCGATATTGTTACACGTAGATTGGTTTTCCGTGGTTTATGTTTAGATACAAAGAAAAACTGCTGAAGTTCCCAAAATATTTTGAACACATACATGCTGAATGTGGACGTGTCTACAAAGAGCGTGTTTTTGAAATATATCATTTTCTGGACAGACTACCATATATTGTTCAATATTCTAAATACAAAATTGCAATATTCTTACAAGGTACAACTACTGTATGCAAATGTGGGAGAGCCATGCTGCGGCAAGAATGGGACGACTCAACCGGAGTGATACCACGGCCTCACAGAAAACCGACGTGAAACAATGCTTACGTTGTGTTTCGTCGTGTGAGTGAGATTAGCGGAGGTCAAACTACCCCCCATTCTTCAATCTTCCAAATTCCTAATTCTCCAACATTCTTCAAATTCCTAGTCCCCAAAAGGCCGGTAACGCACTTGTAACACCTCTGGTGTTCCAGGTGCCCATGGGCGACGATGATTGCTTACCGTGATACGTCTGCTCGTTTACCGGCTTATGCAATAAAATAAAAACAACTAAACTAGCTTTACTTTTTTTGATATAATACCCTAAATGTCTTATCATGCCAAATTGGATAAGTTAAATAAATTACCTACATCGCTATTGGTACAAATAAAACAAGTAACCTTATGTTAAGATAATTACATGCACAATAAGAGTTTAATCATGTCAGCCTCTGACTGACATGATGATGAGTCTACCAAGTTATATCTCACCTTCCATTCAAGCAGCTTAGTCCAGAATTCTGGGCATCGTTACTGGGTATCGTGATGTTAGCAGGAGGGCTTTTGTTCAGAGGGTACCACTGAGCCACTGGTTTGCGAGGGTTGTCCAGCATCTGCAGCCAATGGTCGCGGCCGATGCCAATCAAGGTGGATCCAATTGCAGAGCAGCCAATCAGCTCATTGGGGCCAATTCTGGGTACAAAGTGTGATGTTAAAAATAACTAAAAACAGGTCAAGGTTAAATGTTATGCTAAATCATATTTCCTATGCTAATTTATTAGAAACAATAAATTAATGAGACCTAGGATGTATGTCAATATTGTAACTTCATGTTATTTTTTCGATATTTTCCTTCGCTATTAGTTATGTGTACATGAAAAACTGTGCGAAAGAAAAATAACTACCTTGATGTTTATCGGATATGATATTAAAAGAAATTTATGCTTTTATTTTCAGAATATAAATATAAAACATGAATATGTGTTTATAAAAATGAAAGTATTTATTCCAAAAACACAGGTTATTAAAATACTACAACGGAAAAAGTGAAAATTTCCAAATTAATTTTTCTGTAAAGGTCACATTCCTCCTAATATATTTTGAAGACATACTTCTCTATTAAGTAAATGTCAAGTAGGCAAATAACTTCTAAAGTATCTTATTACAATTAAACTGATATATCATATCTAATAACATCACTTGAATATGTAAATTCCTATGAAAATTATTAATTACTCATTGATTAGTAACGTTTTCGGAACGATTGAGCAGAAGTGTATTAAAACTTCACGTGTTAAAGAGAGCGTTGTGTTAATAAATCTTAATAATACTTTACTCAGCTCTAATAGAAAAGTCGAGACACGTCAGACCAATCTTGACACGTCTGTTTCGCCTTTCCTTGGAGACGGGTCTAGTACCGGTTGCATGGAAGCTGGCCAACGTACAGCCTGTGCCTAAAAAAGGTAGTCGTGCCGACCCTAACAATTACCGCCCTATTTCGGTCACGTCCATACTCTGCAAGAGCATGGAACGTGTTCTTAACAATAGACTCCTGGCATACCTTGAAGGTAACGATCTCCTCAGCGATCGGCAATACGGGTTTCGGCGTAACCGATCGACTGGGGACCTTCTTGCGTATGCCACTCACATATGGAGCGAGGCCATAGAGGGGCACGGAGAGGCACTAGCAGTCTCCCTCGATATTTCGAAGGCCTTTGACAGGGTATGGCACGACAGTCTAATCGGCAAGCTTCCTGCATATGGACTTCCTACTGGTCTGTGCATATGGATAGCAGACTTTCTGAGGGATCGGTCAATACGAGTAGTCATCGATGGCTGCTCGTCTGACCAATTCGGTATTAATGCCGGCGTCCCTCAGGGGTCAGTACTTTCAGCGACGCTCTTTTTGCTGCACATAAACGACCTGCTTAAGCCCGGTATCTTTGGGTATGCAGATGACAGCACAGTTGTTGAAAGGTATGTGTCCGGTGCGCGGACTAGCGGAACACAGATCCAGTCTTTAAGAGAATCCATGGTCGAACGTTTGAACTCGACCTTGAAGGCGGTGTCCGACTGGGGTGACGCCAACTTGGTTAGGTTCAATGCTAGCAAGACCCAGGCGTGTCTATTCTCCGCCAAACGGAGTCAATTTCCGCTGACTCCTACTTTCCGGAATGTATCCGTACCGATAACCGATCGTCTTGAGCTTCTTGGTGTAACTCTGACGCCCACGCTCAACTTTGGCTCATATATAGAGTCAAAAGCGCAACTGGCTGGTAGGAAGTTGGGTGTCCTATGGAGGGTGAGACGGTACTTCACGCCGAGACAATTGCTGAGCCTGTACCAAGCACAGGTTCGGTCCTGTATGGAGTACTGCTCTCATCTTTGGGACGGCTCGGCTAAATATCAGCTGGACGCGTTAGAGCACATTGAGAGGCGTGCCAGGAGGCTCATCGACGATGATGCGCTTGTAAAGGCTCGGCTTCAAAGCCTCGAACACAGGCGTAAGGTTGCAAGCCTTTCGGTTTTCTACCGGATACATTTCGGGGAGTGTGCGGGGGAATTGCACAACTTAATTCCCCCTAGTCCTTTCCATCATCGTACCACAAGACAATCCGCGAAGCGTCACCGATTCATGGTAGATGTTCCGCCCACACGCACGAAGCGCTTCGCTTCAAGCTTCCTTGTGCGTACTGCTAAAGAGTGGAATTCTTTGCCAGAGTCTGTATTTCCTGAAGGGTATAACCTGGGAGTCTTCAAGGCCCGAGTGAATAGGTTGCTTATGGGACGACGTGCTCCAACGTAGACCGCATCATCGCTTACCATCAGGTGAGATAGTGGTCAAACGTCGCCCCATCAATTATATATAAAAAAAAAAAAAAAAAAAGTCGAGACTTCGTGTTCAACCTTCAAAATTACAACTCAAATAACGAAGCACTCAATAATCCAAATTAATATTTCATATCAACGCAATTAACTGAACTCGAAAATTAATTTCAATTCTGTTTGAACTTGAAATTTCCTAATATACTTGTAATCCTCGTACATTCCGGATTTGAGATTAACAGACTTGAGAATTTAAATTCTTGGAAATTCCGTCCATTATTGAGATTGGATGGTCGAGGCTTGAAGGCTCGTACACAAAACTGCGATGCGACGTCGCATCGCAAAAATGTGCGAGTAAGAACTTGCAAATTGATTCGCATCGCGCATCAAAATTTTATCTTCCCAAAACCTTCTTTATTTCTTTTAATACCTAAAGTGCACACTTCTTTTTACGCTTATACTTTTTTTCAATTTAAAATAAGTTTAGTACGGTTGACGGTCGTCGAAGGAATGGTCATCCTAGAAAACACCTTGTCGCACGAAATCGCATCGCAGCAATTCGCATCGTAATTTTTTGCGTTACTTATTCGCATCGCATTGCATCGCAGTTTTGTGTACGAGACCTTATGAAACGAAGCCGTCAAAGCCACAGGAACTTGTATGCGTAATATGAAACCTCTGCACTCAATACTAGCTATAGTAACTGTGTATCTACTAGAAACTACCTATACCTATAAACCAGTATAGACTGACCGTTGAATGTACAGAAAGATCATACAAAGTCAGACCATGATAATTTGGTTATTATGGCTTGATGTGTGTACATAGTATGTACGGACTGCACTATGGTAAGGTTCGATATTGGACACGAGTTGGTTTTGTTGGTATTATATAGGTATGTAGGACTGTAAAAACATTGATGACTGTTGATGAAGCGAAAGAGGTATGTAGGAATCGTAGGAATTGGCATTCCATAGTATCTACCTACCCCCATGGGAGACAGGCGTGAAGTTATGTATGTATGTATACAGGACTAATATTAGTAAAATTGAGTTTTGGTAAAGATGATGTGAAATTAAAGTGATTAAATAAAGAAGAAAAGATATTGTCATCATTTAGTAATTTAACTCGTCGAGTACCGGTTTTGTAGACACAATTATAGAACAATAGGTTGCGGTCACCGGTGACCGCTTGGTGTTTGACAGTTTAAAGATTTACGTGTAAAAGTGTTACTACCTATGAAACATTTGCAGAAAAAAAACCTAAATATCTGATAAGAGATTTTTTTACGTAAAACGTGGCCCCACACTAGGATTTCCTCCTGTGTCGTGAGTCCGTTTACAAACATACAAGTTCACATACACATCACACTCAGACCCGAACCAACAATTTGTGGATCACATAAAAAGTTGCTTCGTGAATTGAAGCTTTCTACACTTGCGCGGCACCACCCGTGCAATCATAAAATGGAATTACCGTTGAATAGAAAGAAAGATATTTTTTGATTAAAATTCTTCTTCTCTTAACCGATCATATATTACATTACTTTCCAAACTAAATATTGCTACCGGAATTTCAAAAACAATAAAACTTTAAAAGTAAATTTCATTTTCGAGATTCATCACCAAATAACGAAACTAGTCTCACATTTTTAATCCCGATCATAGAACCAAAATAACTCAAAAATGTTTAAAGTTGTTTGTTTGTAAAAACTTTAAGAAATGAACTGTTTTAATCTGAGTCTGGCAAAACTTCATCAATGCTCAATATTAAATTAATATTTGATAAAGTAAAAGTTCATGAACTTGTTGATTAAACTGTTTCTTCTATTCGACCAGCAATCAAGCCTTGAGATTTTATGAAAAGGGTTGTTTATGCATAGTCTGGACCAACTACTCAATTACTTATACGTTTGATCAACAAAAAGAAATGAATATAAAGAAATTGAAATACTATTAACACTGGCTTGATTGAACAATTTTGCTAATTTACTTGTCTATTACTCATTTTTAAATTCATTTCAATTAACTGCAGACTGGTTTCGTTGCGTTTGACATTCATAGTTATAGAAAATATGAGTGCATTCATAGTTAATTTACTCGTTAAATGGCATTCTAGAACTTCTATTATTGAGACACTTAAACAGATTTATTGGCTGAATGCAGAGGCCTTGGTTTGTTACTTGGATCTGTTAAAATAGAAAAAACCGACTTTAAAAGACTTTGAAACTTATAGTTATAGTTTTAAAAGTTCTCCTCGGTTTTTCTGGGATCCCATGATCAGATCCTCACCTGGCAATGGGACCACCTTGAAAGTGTAACCTTTCAAACAAAAGAAACTTGGTGGAATTATTGGCGAACATGCATAAATAATAAATCAATCATTGGAACAAAGTACAACTTCCTATTTTTAAAGTCTTTAAAAATTTGACAATACTAAGTTCTCATTACGAGTTCAGATATATCCTGTATTTATATTTCAGTACTTATCATTACTTGACCAACTGGATAGTCTTGACCAACTAGACAGTCCTTACCAAATGTTGTAAAAAAAAATCTTATTGGTACAAATTTTTTGCAAACTCTAAGGGTATTATTACCCGATGTCAGTGATGCGGATGAATTCTTCGATGCCTAGACAAGACGTCGTGAATACTTTTCGTGTCATTTTCTTATTTTTAATAAATTAGGTCTTTTATTTAGTTGTTACCATATTTAATGTATCAGATACTACAGCTTACCTGTCATAATCAATGACTTTGACCAGCAAGGTGACGTCATAAACGTTTTCTGCTGGAAGATCGAAGACCAGGGCCTCATTATATACTGGTGACAGAGTATTCTTCTTAACCGTCGTCTTCTTCTTCTTGATGCGCTTACCCTGGCATATCAGGCAGATCTTGACGTAGGGATCTGTTTGGAAAGAGAAAAAATGATTAAGATTCATGGAAAGAAGTTGTACAACATACATATGTGTATCTAATAAAGAACAAAATGTAATACCATCTAAAGAACCAGAAAGAAGTGAACTTCTTTTACGTTTTTTATTGTAAACAGTCTAATATTCTGATTCTCATGTTTAATATCAGAAGCGAGTATCGTTGTCTAACTAAAATAATATAAACAAAGTGCTAGTAGTTATACTACTGTAGCAGATTAGGGATGGATGTTGTTCACAATGAATTTAAGAAATTTAAGAAATTAGTGGGTTCGTAGAGCGTTTTCTATGCACGCTACTCGCAAAACTTTTCGACGGTGACTGTCGGCGCGAGCGTGGAGCCCGCTCGGGCGAGGCATGATCGGGACTACGATTTTTAAAATTTTAGCGCCAATACACCACGTGACTACCATTTTTCATATTGCGCTCCGCGCGTGATAAGCGTAATTATGAATTAGAAAAGAGGTTTTTAAAGTGTCAAACACCAAGCGGTCACCGGTGACCGCAACCTATTGTTCTATAATTGTGTCTATAATGACAGTACTCGACGAGTTAATGAGAAGTTGTCTACACCATAAATAATAAACTTTTCAAAACACTGAATAAGAAAAATCTGACCATTAACTTAAACCTAAATCTACCCACAATTACCTACATGGCACCTAAACAAAGTAAACAACACAAAAGCTTTCTAAATCTCATCCCGATATCCTGTAGAAGACGCCATATTTCAAGTGGGCGGGGCTTCTTAAGATAAAACAGGCATTGTATTAAGTCATAGTCTAAACCTAACAATATCTTACATGTCCTTTGTACAGTAAAAACAATGAAGATTCTCAGCATTGTACATTAAAGATTAAATATCACTTTTTCCAAAAATTTTTATAGAAGTACTTTAAGGATGAAATTCTATTGTGAAAAGTATAAAAGAAAAATCACACCTGAGCATACTTGAATGTAGACAGGTAAACGTTTTATTCTCATCAAGTCATTTTAAAAGCCTGGAATAAGAGGTTACGGTAAATTGTATTCTATGTCGAATGTTTTATAGTTATATTATGATTTTGTGCATTAATTATTTCATTTATCTAGTAATTATTTCCAGGTAGTTACTATTTTTAAATATTTTAAAAAGATCCCGGCAATTATTATCTATACTACACTCAAATGTCGATAAAGACCCCAATTACAGAAAGATTTGTTGTCCTTTTCAATATAAAGATCTATACAGATACATGAAATTGAAATGTCTGTACTTATGTAATACAAATGTATTTGCTTTTTTTACCGATTTTTTTCCAATTTTTATCTGTTTGTATTGGAAATGCTGGAATTGCTGGACCGATTTTGACAGGAGTTTAATTGGCAGGTAGCTGGTGTACTAAGGAGTAAAATATATAAAATACTTTTATTTTGGAAAATTGAAACAAAATAAAAAGTTATTTCCTAAAATTCGAATTATACGCCGTCAAAGTCGCGGGCAACAGCTAGTTAGATATATTATTCAACAAATTCAGGTACACCTTTTTAAAACTTTCTGTAGTGCCTAGAAAGAAGTCTTAAAGGCAAACCCTAATATAGCATATTACAAAAGTCGGTTAACAGAAATACTACATTTTCTATGTATTATTATATACCAACCCCTGATTAACCCTTTTGTTACATTTGTACCCCTTGAACCAAATGAGAGAAAATCCGTAGAAAAATACATTACAGTATTTCTTTCGCATTGCTAAACTCATGTTGAATACAAATGACTGTGAGACGCGTATAATGTAAGGAGTAAATTGTTCTGGAATACTAAGCAGGTGGCAGGAAGATGCTGATGTCTTTTTAGTAATGAGAGGGTTGAAAACGGTTTGGAGAATTAAGGTCAAGTTTTTTTTAAAAAGTGCTGTAAAATTTATTTATAATAATTTTTATGGCATAAGCCGATAAACGAGCAGACGGATCACCTGATGGTAAGCAATCGTCGTCGCCCATGGCCACCTGGAACACCAAAGGCGTTACAAGTGCGTTACCGGCTTTTTGGGGATTAGGAGTTTGAGGATCGTTGGGGATTCAGGGATTGGGAAGATTGGGGAAGGGGAGGGTAATTGGGCCTCCGGTAACCTCACTCACACGACGAAACACAACGCAAGCGTTGCTTCACGTCGGTTTTCTGTGAGGCCGTGGTATCACTCCGGTCGAGCCGGCCCATTCGTGCCGAAGCATGGCTCTCCCACACTCATATCTATCGTTTTGAAATATAGTCGAAAACCTAATGACAACAATTAATTTATAAACCACGTTTAGAAAACCGTTTTCAACCCCCTTTTTTTAAGTTGGTTAATTAATATAGGTACGAGAACTTTCTCATAAGTGTAACAAACTTTTCTGAAAACCGCATTAAAATCGGTTCAGCCAATCGTGAGATAATCGAGCACAAACATACATAACCTATGCACATGTCGCGGAGAACCTAACGGGTAACCGGGGCTCCAGCTCGACGTGCAGGAGAAGGAACGGGGTGGTTTTTAGTCAGTAAGAGTCTGACACTCCCTCCCGCCTCACCCAGGCAGGGGAGCAGTCATTCGATGATATTCCCCCATGAAAAAAAAACCTATGCACATACAAATTGTATACATGCATATCAGACTGCAAACCTGCTCATTTATTTTGAAGTCGGATAAAAATTGACACATTGGAGTAGGTCGGTGTGCCAGCACTACACGATACACAAAACAAAAAAATATATAAAATGTGATTTATGTGTTGTTGATAGTTTTCAGAGTTAATTGCTTTTTATTGCTACCGCTTGATACCAAACTGCTTCAACCTCTGCATTACGTTATTATTGCAAGTAGTACTATATATTTATTTATTATAACGGAGTACAGTACTACTTCAATAAATACTAAAAAGCCTTTTTCGCTGTCTTTATTAAATTTCCAATAAAAACTTAAATAATATTAAAATTAACTATAACTAAATTAAAAATAAAATGTATTATACAACTTAAGATTAAAATTATATAAAAGAAAAACAAAAACAACTATTTACATAAAATTAATACTAAAAATGATTTAGTTAAACGATTATTTTCGTATATAGGAGTTGAGAAAAAGGGTTTCTACTTAGTATAGTAAGGTCTATCTGATAGGTTTATTATAAATCCCATATTATTATAAGTAGTAAAAAATTGGGTCTACTTTAGACGCCCTTTCAAATATATCTTAGTTACCGGTGGCGCAATTACTCCCCCCCCCTTTCCCCAGTTTAACAAATTCCCCTACAATCCTCAAATTGCCAATTCCCAAAAAGCCGGTAACGCACTTGTAAGTTGGTGCGACTGGCGTTCTCCAGTTAAACCGCATGATTGCTTTTCCCGCTCATCGCAAACGCATGACACGTTGCTCTAACATGGCCAGCGACTCAAAATTAACCGTTTCCGAAAACTACAATAACAATAATATTACTAATCAAATTGCAATAATTTGTCAATATTCATCAATTTAAAATCAGAGATTGGCTCTGGATTAAGTCCGGGTCGTACAAACTCTCTACAGATTAAACGGATCATGTAATTGTATTAATTTGACACAGATTAATACAGTAGATCATAGGTATTTTTTTAAGGGGGGAAAATCATCGAATGGCTTCTCCCGCCTAGGTGAGGCGGGAGGGAGTGTCAGACTCTTACTGACTAAAAACCACCCCGGTTCTACTCCTGCACGTCGAGCCGGAACCCCGGTAACCCATTAGGTTCTCCGCGACGGATCATATTCGATAAATTCCTTTCATCATGACTCTATTTTACAGAGTGGCTCCTGAATTAGTTTTTCAATAATAAAGTGAATACCAAATTTAAGAAGACCACATAGCAGTGCTAAGTACCAAAGCAGACTATAAGAGTAGTAGAATCTCAGGCTGTGGGTAACTTTTTTGTCCACTACCATCGTCATCATCATTATAGTAGAGGTAATATCATCTACAAGAATTTCACATAGAACTCCGAACAATAGACCATAAACAGCAAACAGAATTTCCCAATGACTTACTACATCACTTTAAAAAAGTCATGCTCCCATTGGCTCAATACCACTCTAATTAGACCTAACTTATTCTAAAGTCAAATACTTGCTAAACAATCAAAACAAAAATGTATACAACAGGTTTAAACAAACCATTATTGAACACAAATCCGAAATCTTGAACAAAATTGTATGTAAATTCGTATTTAGCCCACATTTTGTATTTCCCACGTCGTTCAAAGATACTCTTGTCTTCTTCAGACCGGTTTTAGGTATTGAAATATTCTCTAGAGATAAATATTTGTTTTTACCCAACTGTGTGCAAGAAGGGTTGTGTTTTAGAGCACTTGTATACTTTTGCCTCTTTTACTGAGCTGTTTTAAGGGTTTTTGGTTATGTGGTTGGTTACGTAATCGAAAAGTCAACTTGAATTCACGATTGGAACCATCATCATCTTTATCTTCCTCATTGTGTTTTTTTGCATCAATCAGACTCTAATTCTGTTAAATACATACATGACATCACGCCTGTCTCCCATTGGGGTTGGCAGAGACTATGGAACGCCAATAACTACGATTCCTCGTCGGTTAAGGCTACTTTTAATTTGGCCTTTCTTTAAAATATCGCCAAATTGATCAGTATAGTATGTCTGTCTTGGGGCGCCCTCTACCGACGGCTCCATTCATATTCGCTCTGTATACTTCTTTCGTTACTCTACTTTTATCCATCCTTAATTCTGCTTAAACATGATAAACTATTAGCTATCGCTTCTCATAAAAATTCTCTTCTTAAAATCAACAGATTATTTAATCCGAATATTCACATTATTCACACATTACAAATCTTCCCTTTCAAAAACTCTCCTATTTAAAAAGTTAAGAGTTACACAACCTTCTATAAGATCCTAATGGGTTCGATTCAGTTCTTTACCATCCATTCAATATAAAGGTTTGAATGGAAAA